ATAAACTAGACAACAAAAGTTAAGGAACTTACTGTAAAAAGAGTGATATATTTGCAGGCATTCTTTCGAGGTTTTACTTTTACTCGAAAAACTAGATATTGGTGAAATGTTACTCTATGACTAATGGGCGTGTACACACCAGGGTTTGAAATGCATGTGACTCCTGTGCGCTGATCAGGGGAGGGGGCAAAAAGGTCCAGTGTTTTCCAATTATCGATTTTTATTCTCTAGCTCTTATCGTCAGGAAAAATTATGAACGCTCAAAAATCAGTTCTCAAATAGATGCAAAATTCATGTCTCGTGAGTGACTTGCACTCGCTCATTTGCACTGTGGATACACCATTCTGCTGTATTGGGTTAGTCGTAAACATGCCTCCTCGATAGAAATTGTCTGATGTAAACAGAGGACGAGTCATTGCTTGGGTACAAGAGGGTGTTTCACTCCGACAAGTTGCTACACCTTTTCGAGTGTCCGTTTCTGTCATTTCACGGCTGATTCAGCGTGCCAGCGCCACTGGTAGTGCTCAAGAGTGACCCAGATCAGGTCGACCAAGAGCCACTAATACAAGGGAGGACCGATTCATTCATTGACAGGCTCTGCAGTCGAGATCCGCTCCTGCAAATCGCATCCAGACACGGCTGAGAGCGGCGACTCGTGTTAACATTAGTTGTCAGACAGTACGAAGACGTCCTCATGAGTTTGGTCTTAATGCACGTCGACCAGCAGTCCGTCAGCGTCTTACCCCAGCACACAAGGCTGCTCGTCTTGTCTTTTGCCGACGCCATGTAAGAATGGACACATCCACAGTGGGCAAACGTTCTCTTCAGCGACGAGTCCCGATTCTCTTTGCATCACAATGACGGTCGTATCAGGGTTTGGAGGCGACCCAGAGTGCGGCTCCTCGATGGAGCCGTCAAAGAAGTGATGCCTTTTGGAGGTGGTTCCGTGATGGTATGGGGTGCTTTCAGTCTGAACCACAGAACACCTCTGTACCATGTGCAAGGGAATCTCACTGCAATACGTTACCGAGATGAGATACTCCGTCCATTAGCACCTCCTACTCTGCAGCAGATGGGCCACACGCGGTGTACCAGGATGGCAACGCCCGACCGCATAGAGCGTTGCTTGTCAAAAACTTCATGCAGCAGGCTGGCATCAACCGAATGGACTGGCAGGCCTGCAGTCCGGACTTGAATCCCATAGAAAACCTCTGGGATGAGCTGCAACGTCGAGTCAGAGACAACCACACCCCTACAGGAGACGCGCAGCAACTGTTTCAGATGCTGCAGGCAGAGTGGCAGGGGATGCCTCAGAGAGTGTTCACCAACCTCATGAACTCGATGGGGAGCCGGTGTACTGAGTGCCAGGACAATCGTGGTGGGCATACTCATATATTGAAATCATCGGAACTGTTTTGTTTTTGTTGTAGTCAGAAGATAAAATAACTTCGAAACCACTCGACAATTTTGGGGATTTGGGATTTTAACCCCTACCAAACTCAAATAACTTTTCAAGCAAGTTAAAATGGAATAACTTAATTTTCTTTTTTGGTACTTGCTATACACATGTTGATTAAAATGAGTACCAAATTTCATCGCATGTTGAATTTTGCTTTCGAAGTTTACACTTTTTCTCAAATGTTCCTTAATTTTTGTTGACGAGTTTAGTTCAAAATTTTTTGTTCTGATCTGTTGTTGTCAAAGATAAATGCTATATAGTACTTGACATACATAGCATAGGTTATTTCAAGAATAGGGCTCTTCCTCCTCCATCAAGACACAGGGCTGGGAAGAAATAATATTCAGACTTCAGCAGACTCAGTTTGCAACCCTTGGGGGGGGGGGGGGGGGGGGGGGGGGGTAATCTACTTGCCTTCACTACCACCATATTAAACACAAACAATAGGGCTGCCTTAGAGTTACTTTACTTTTCCCAAAACATAAAATCGAATTGCCTACATTTAGAAATTATTAGCCTAAATTTTATCCAAATCAGAGATCGAGTCCAAACTTCAGCTTAATAACACTGATTCATCATATATACTGAGTCCAGCTTTTAATTTAGAAAACCTCATTTTCACTGAAGGAGTCAATATTCCAGTCAATACATTTTAGTTCAGTCTCCTTTCTTCTCCCATCCACAAGCTCACTGTCGATCCCCATTCCCACCCATCCCTCATCCTCACCCTTGGCATAGTAAGAGTTACATATATAAGTTATAAGGTAATCAAAAGAGTGTGGGGAAGTCAGTGCAACAAAAGGTAAAATGAAAGTGAATATGTGAGGCACCGTGGTGGAATCAGGCTCTCGTCAAAATAATCAAAGTGAAGATACTTGCATTTTTCAGCTGGTTTGTGAATTTTTATCAAATTTTTTTTGGGGGGCTCAACACTTTCATGCCCGTTAAAGAACTCATTTCTGTGTGGATTTTTCTGAAAAGCATTAATTAAAGGAACAAAAAATGTAAATTTAAAGTTACCACGGACTCTTAAGCTAAGGAAATAACTTATCTTTGGTGGCCATTTTATCACTCATTTTAAATCTGAAAACAGGTGACCCCCACCTCATTCATTCGCAAATACAGTCAAACCTGTGTAAGATGGCCATCCATTGTCAAGGAGAAAAGTGGCCGTATAAGACAGGTGGCCGTGTTAGGCAGGACTGATCAAGAAGAAGAAAACAAAGCATTCCCATCTGAGGTTCCCAATCGAAAGTGGCCGCATTGTTGTTAGTTTGTATTTTGTTTGTAATTTTTATTTTGTTGCTGATTTTGCGCAAGGGTGACAATAAAACGAAATGTATCAGACGAGGAAGACCGAGTGCCATGTTAAAACAAACACATGGGTCGCCACCACTTGGAGAACGAGCAACGCTTCTGTCACAAGTTCATGTTGACGTCTATTGTTACTTTGTTGTTACAGACTGGGTAAACAGTGACCACTCATCTCACTTACGATTTGTGTACGAGTTCTGGGCGGGGCTTATGAGTTATGAGGGATCACACACTTACCTCACCAGCAGCTGAAAATTGGTACCTATTGGTCAACAGTGGGAGGAACCTACACAACATGATCGGTTGGAGGGACTACCTAACAACGATAGGTGACTGAATTATGACGGCTCGCCCACAATGCCAGGGGCCAATGCATGATTTATGACAAAACGTAATGGAGTCACTAGACTAAGGTGGCCGTCTAAGACATGTGTTATTGTTTGGCGTGATAGTGATAGGGATTGTGTGTTAAAATATGGTGGCCGTGGCGGACAGGTGCCCGTTTTACACAGTTAAATTATATAGTAAAAACGCAAGGGGGGAAATGGAAAGAGGCTGTTTGAGCCGTTTGTACAGGTGGCCGTCAGGGCAGGTTTGACTGTATCTTGACTTGTATTCAAGATAAATGGATATTTTTTTTTTCATCCAAAAAAACACAAGTGAACAAGCTTTAAGATGATACCAATAACTCTACATGCCCAAAAATTGAAGAGAGCTTGATTCCACCACGCTGCCTCACATATAATATAAATAGGAAATCTCAAGTCTATTTTATAGCATTTTCCAAGTTACCCAAATACCTGGTACTGATTTGGACTTATAGTCATACCAACAGGCTTACTACATAACCCCTTTGGACAATATTCATCTGTCCCCTCAGGAACCCCGTCATTCCCTCTCATGTCAGTTCCCTGAGGAGCACCCAGAGACACCAGAACACATAAAGTTCTTCCCTCGCCTAGATAAAACTATACCTGGAAAATAGAGGTTAAAACTGCATGCTAAGTCTCAACTGGTTGCAAAGTGAAACTGAAATATACATTTTTTGTCCTTATCCAAAATTACGGTAAAACTTGGATAGGTCGAACACAGATTACTCGAAATCAAGCATCCGTCGAACTGTGCCTGTGGACCCGTTTTCTTCTTCTTTATCTTTGTAAGAAAATTACATGAAGCTCGAACACAAACACGGAATAGTCAAACTAATTATGCCACTGTAGAGGTCTAAAGCCAGTGTCATTTGAGGTGCACTTAAGACAAAATAATAATGGTAATAATAATAAAAACGAAAAAAGGCAAGGTCGGTAACATACCATCCCCCCCTCCTCCACAAAAGCAGCTACCTATGCTATTTTTTGCTCGTTGCTCGGCGCGCTTGCCCTCTGCACGTGCCTAGGTCCAAGGCCTAGCTAGGCTTGTATGGAGTGGGCGAGAGGATGGGTTGTGCATCACACGATCGGCCGCCCCACCCCTATTTGCAAAGGGCTGCACGCTTGGTGGGAGAGACAGGGTAAGGCTGCATTGTTTCATCATCACGTTGTTTATTACTGTTGCAATGTGCCTATCTTGTCAAACTGTTTATGTTTAGAACAATTTGAAAAGGCACCGTTCGATTGGTGCAGACTAAAGACCGCTCACACTGACCCACACAATTAAAGTATCTTGGTACCGGTAGGCTCATTACCGATCGAACTCGACAGCATGGCTCACCGTGTTTCTCATTCTCAGTCTGTCAATTTAAGTTTCTCTCAAATTTCAAATTCAAGTCAATAGGCATAGATCTCTAACCTATCTGATCTAGAACAAGTGCTGAAAAAAACCCAATTTCTGCTCCAACCCAATCTTTGTCGCTTCCCTTCATTCTCTGACACAGCCAATGCCATAACACTGTTCACATATCCCTCGAACTACTGATCCCTCGAACTACCGAGGCCAGTCCCGACAAACTCAAACAACTCGTTATACTGTAGTTTGCATTACAAAATCTCTACTCGCAATCCTGATCATAAAAACAGAATGTACCCAATGTAGCTTGACTAGGAAACCATTATAGGAGTATATATTATATGAGACACAAAGGCACAGCTGTATGTTTAACATCCTGTCAAGTCTTATCAGTGATAATCACCGATGTCTAAAAAACCAATAATGACAAGCAAGTTCAAAGGAATTTCAATATATAATACACCAAAACACAAAGAAAAAAATGTACTAAAACAAAGATACAATTGCGACCGTAATTTATATCACATTAGTGAAAATGGCATAGCTCCAAAAGCTATTACTCCCATCTATAGATGAGTAAAGAAAGCCATCAAGCTCAATAATATCACATATTATCAAAGGTAGAAATAAATAGATGTGCAATACCAGTTCAAGAAAAATAGGCCTGTATAACGATAAAACATGGAATCTGCAGAATAATACACTAATGCTCACAAACACACAGAAACCATCCTCTTTCACCCTGCTAAAAAGACAAGACAATAACAGAAGGCATCAGCATCACAATTGACTGATGATGGGTAGGAGTTGGACATGCACTGTTCTGTATTCAGTCCAAGAGAAGAATCTCCTGTTGAGAGAAAGAAAGAAAAAATAAATGAAATCATGGCTATTGTAATCGAGTACTGGTAGTGGACATTCCATGAGTATTTTATAAACTCTGAAATAATACCCCTCGGCTTAAGGAAAAGGTGGGGAAGAGGGGTCCCCCATGTTATGTTATTACTAATTGTCTAGAGAGCTTGGCTAAAAAAATAAACTGTTTTTAAATTCTTAGAAATAACGAAAGGTTTAAGCAAAAAGGGAACCCTAGAAAGGTATCCTTTTTTCCTTCAGCCTCTCTCTCTATATATAGGAAGATCAGATAGGTCAGAAATAAATTCAGAATAATTCTTCAACTTTGCAAAAGGAAAACCCATCTGTGTCTTCTCACAGTAAAAAACAATAAAACATATAATTCCTTTCTATCAAAGACAAAATTTAAAATCAGATCAGGTACACACAGAGCAACATTCTGTTAACTCTTCCAGCCCCAGCCATTTTTCTGCACTCCCTAACCTCAGTCCCCAGTAAATACAGCAGTATTTCAGAAAAAGAGACGTGAAGTCTAAAAAGTGATGTAGTGTCTTTTTTATGAGGTTTAGATAAATAACAAATAATGTTCAAAGGTAAAAGAACAAAGATTTTGAGAATTGAAGTTGAATTAGGCTCGCTGCCATTTTGATAAATACGCAAATTCGGTACCCCCAAAACTGAAAATATATGCTCTAGGGACAGGCGGTGGCTCGAGCGCGGCTGAGAATAATATGCTCTTGGGACAGTGGGAGATACAAGCGCTGCTGAAAATACACACGCATGAGGCTGGAAGGGTTAAACGGTCAGTATCAGAAACACATGGTCTTCCCCTACCTCATCAAAACAGCATGCATTATCGCCATCTTCATTCTGGAAAAAAAAGTAAAAGAGAAGACTGTCATCATCAAAGGAGTGGGAAATGTTAGGACACTTTCACAGAACTAGGAAAAGCACTCAGAGAGAGAATCATTACTAGTGAAACTGTCATGGATGCTATAAGTCACTGAATGCAAAATATTCTTTATCTCTAGAAAAATCAATGGAGAATCAGAGAAGAAAACTGTAGGTCATTATAAGTTAAAGCTAAGTTTGCTTGCTTTATTAAGCGTCTTATGGCACTACAACACAGTTGGATTATATTATTATTAGTGCCGAAGATTAGAGGTGTTACAAGAGACTAACAAACACATACATAAAAGAAGGAGGAGAAATAAGGATGGCAGATGTTTGAAAGGAAAGAAGAAACAAACCACACACTGGAGCACTCGCCAACCACCCTAAAAAGCTAAGTTTTGTGACCTCAGTGCTCAAGCATTTAGCAAAAATCACAATCTCTGTATATCTCCTCAATTGCTCAGATCAAAACAAACCGTCACTACCCACATTCCAAGCAAAAAATTTATATTGCATTTATAAAAATTTGTCAGCATAAAACACGGTGCTGGTTTGGTTGAAGGTCTACCGCTCTGCAGTGGTCTACCTAAGTCCCGTTCAAAAGACCTACGTCTAACAACACAGCATAAGCCCCGTCTGATTGGTCACGGTAATGAAAGTCTTGGGGGCATTTAAACCAAAGGCAATGACTTTACACAGTTGTGGTGTTTGGGTGGGAGGAACGTTCCAATTTGTAGTGTCGTCTTGATCAAATTATTTAACAGAGGTAACGATTATGATCGACAAGTAAGTTATGACCAGGTGGGACTACTTTTTAAAAATTAGGAGGGCCAGTCCCCCCCCCCCCCCCAAATAAGCCACAAACTAGAGCTGGAGTCTGCTCAATTAATCGAAGGCTTGCGAGCAGCGGACGGCTTGCACTAGAGGCTTGCGAGCAGGCTTGTGCTTTGCTTTGCCTCCCTCTCGCTATCAAGGGGGAGAACTTCCGGTGAGTTGTGACTAGCGGACAGTCTAGCTGTACTGTGTCGTGATGTCGCGAACTCTCGTGGCTGTGGGTACAGTACATATAACAGAAGATTCTGGTTATTTGTGTTGAAAGGCTTGCACCAAAAGTGCAAGATTGTTTTGTTTTTTCCAAAGCCGGGTTGTAAAAAATAAAAAGCTCCATTCAATGCACTTAAAAATTAATAATGGATCGGCCATTCTTACGATGCAAAGACCTGTTTGTTTATTAATGTGCACGAGCTAAGCGCTTCGTCGTCGCATGTAAAAGACCTCAGTTCGATTCCCGTATGGGGAGAAATTTTTTACTGAGAACCTCCGTCTTTCTGCTGGGGCGTTGTTCCCTCTCAGCCCAGGTTGGTCCTGACATTGGGTTGAAGTAGGCCTTGCTCGTCTCCTAAATGTTCTGTATTATGTCACTGTGAGTGTAAAACATCTACAAAATAGGTTACAAACATACGATACAAAAGCCAATCACAACGACCCCTGTAGTTTCCCATTCTAGGGTAATCTTAGTCTACTTATTACTACCAGAAACCTAGGTCTCTGTTACTACAATACCACGCTACCTCTCACTTATCCACTCGCTCAGCTGATCAACGGAGGAAGTTAAAAATAGCTTGGGCTCTCTACGTCTTGCACCAAAACAAGCAGAGCCTCTCCCTTCCTCCATGGTTCAGAGCTCACACTACGAGCAGTCTTGCAGTTCGCTGCTACAGCAAGACAGCCAAGTGACTTGCAAGGTTGTGATCTGGTCCCAGGAGCCAAAGCAAAAAATGGGAGCCGAGAGACTAGCCAGGCTGCGACCAAGTCACTGGCACAAAGCAAGACAATGGGAATCATGGGACTTGTTAAGCTGCAAGCAAGATTTGAGACTTGACGGCTGCCTGCTGCTTGCAAGCCTTCGATTAATCAAGCAGACTTCAGCGCTACGCCGTGCAGTGACACTGTGAGCGGGGTCTCTCTCTCTCAACCCCTCTCTCTTTTTTTGATGCAAGTGGCTTCGCAGATTGCAAGCAGGGTGGGGAGGATGAGGGGGTCTGACACGAGTGGCTTCGCAGATTGCTCATTGGTGTGGACTTTAAGCTTAGGCTACACTCAACTTATCATGCTGGTGATTTGATTTGAAGATTTGACCTAGTGATTTGAGGCTTGTGACTGGAACTAGGGGCTTGCGAGCATGAGCGGGTTTGCTACCGGGGTACAGCTCTACTACAAACACTAAAACATTTTTATTATTTATTTTTTAAATATATGGCTATTGACAATCCCAAGCTTGTATACCAGAAACATCGCGGTAGACCTCCAACTAAACCAGTTGTCAGACCAATCCAGACGTAGACTGTCAACTGAACAAGAAAAGTTACAGTAGACCTTCAACTAAACTGGGACCAAAAACATTATACAGTGGAACTCGGATTCAACGAGCTCGGATTCAACGAGATGAGATAGATTCCGCGTTTTTTTTCTTCTTTAAAATCAAAAAGAATAACCCGGATTCAACGAGCACTTAAATCAGCGAGCTCGGATTCAACGAGGTCCCTTCCAGGGCGAACAGCCCCCACAGACGTGGCTTCGCCCATTTTTCTCCCAGAACGAACTTTATCTATTCACGGAAACCATCAATTACACCAGCATTGTGAACCATTATTCACTTAGCGGATTGCATGCGACCAATCAGCGGCCTTTTTTCATACCAACACATGCGTTGTTGACACGCGCACGTGACTACTCTGGCGTGTGTCGGGGTCGGATGGGCGGCCTGCACACGTGTGGCTGTGTGTGTGTGGCCGGGAGGGGGGGGGGGGGGCACTAGCAGTCCGGGCGTTGAACCTCGCAGATACAAACACATCACAGTCTTTTTTTTTTTCTTCAGCAACTGATCATTATTACAATGATAAGCTAGTCTTGACGTAGATCTACATAATGAATTGTGCGCTGGTCTAAGGAATCAAAAGTTGCCGTACGCAAGGCTCTACACAGCAACACAACGTTTTGGCTAACAATCGAGATGACACAGGCGTGTGCATTTGAACGAATCGGGTCTTTTTTTACACAGCTCATAATGTGCATGCATTTCAGGCACTACTTGTGAGTTCTCTTTATACATTACTTGCTCAGTGCCTGTGATTATCTACACAAAACCTTATGTTTGCTAAAACGAACACTCGGATTCAACGAGATTTTAGGTAAGGCCCGGCGACCTCGTTGAATTCGAGTTCCACTGTACAATGTGTAACAGGCCCCTGGTAAAAAGTCTGTACTGATGAAATAAACATAACGGCCAATTGGCGGGCATCTTACACCAATAAAACAAAAATGGGTATTACATTAACTGACTTTGAGAACAGGGACGCACTTCAAAAGTAAGAACAGTATTTTGAGCGGAGAAAAAGTAAGACCAACAGAAACAACATAGGAAAAGACAAGAAAAGAAAAGGACTGTCCAGTGGCATCCTCCAACCACCGAATAATTAAAACGGAAAAACACCATTTTTGTAGCAAACCGACCACACCCTTTAAGCTTTAAGCTGTTAAGTCTTTTCATTCTGAAACTTACCTGGGATGAACTTGGTGCAGGGCTGTTTTGAACAACGGGAAGCTCCACAGATTTTTCTGTCTTTTCCATTTCTTCAGTGACTCCAATGGGCTGCCCCACAGGCTCATCAAGGCAGGGGATAGTGTCTGTAAGGCCTGTGTCCTTATCTTCATTATCATTAACTTTATCAACAGGTCTTCTATCAGAATGTTGACAGTTAAAATTCCCAGATATAGCCGATTCATTTACCAAGGCAGATTGACATACTGGCAGCTTCTGGGGCAAACGCCTCAGGAGAGCACCATTGGGACTTGCACTGCTGGTCAGCAGACATTCAGAAATCTTCTCTGTTTGAAATTCTAAATGGTCTTTATTAAATGTTTCAGTGCGTGACGGTAGTTTCTTGGAAGAAACAGTTGCTAACTGTGGCTCGTTTGAAACATTCTGATTCTGAGGACATTCCTTATGTCCTTCCTCGTGAACATTCGAGTTCTTTTGACTAGATGACTCAGTCTTCAAAAGTTGTACTGCAACTGACAAATGTGAATCTTCTGAAACACTCTGACGTTGCTTAGGAATCTTAGGCTCACATTGAGCAACCACATCTAAGTGATCATCTGACAAAACTTGATCAATTTTTGTTGATAATTTTAAGCGCTTGCAGCGCCTACGGCCCGAGTGGGGTGTTGATGCCTCTTTCATGGCTTTGGATATAGAATGACCTGAAGATCTTTCACTTGAGACTGAAGGACCACAAGTTTGAGGGGTGGTAGATTTTCTTTTCCTTTTCTCATCACTTACACTAAACTGCTTGGCTTTTTGCTCAACAAGGTCTGCAATATTTTTTGAACATGCTTTCTCCTCCTGAAACAAATTTTTCCGCACCAACTTATTATTGCCAAACCTTCCCTTGGAACACGGAGTCCCGCTGCTTCCATGGGTCACCACAGGCGACGGCTTAAACTCATATGGGTCAGATGAATTGTGCTTTGCTGTAGACAAGCAGAGTGTCTGAAGTGGAGCTAAAACAGGCCGAACATCTCGGAGGTGCATCGCAGGTGGGTCAATGGCTACTGCAGCACATGGTGGGCTCTCAAAGCCTTCATCAGTAGCCCCTTTTCTCTTTAATGACTGTGACTTTTTTGCTGATCTTACAGAGCCTAACCTCCCAAAGTTCCTCGTTCGGTTATCAGGAGTAGTGGGACTTTGAAATGCAAGAACGCGCTTGACCGACTTTGCTCTATGCAGCCTTTTACCACTGTGAGAGCCCTGAACTTTTTCAGAAGAAGCATCTTCCCCAAAAGAGTCTCCTTTGTCTTGTTTGCTAAGTGTATGTCTGTTCTGATGCACATTCACACCAGACAAACACAGATTGAAGTTTGAGATCACAGGTCTTGCAAGTCTTGCATCCAATGGACATTCATCTTTGTGTGGAGGGTCAGGTGAGTCCCGTGTGCTAACATCACAGATTCTTCTCCCCTGGGAGGAACTTTCTATTGAGCAGGATGGCTTTTCTACTGCCAAACTGTTATCGTTTTGACTCTCATGGTAGGAATATTCCTCCAGACTTCTACGGCAAAGTCTTCTCCTGTCATGAGGGTCTTGGATATTGGGAAAACAAAATGTATTCTCTGCTCGAGGTTCTTTCATGGGCACTAAGGATACAGAACATTCCCTCGAGATTTTACATTTTTTCCGGGTACTGTTAGATTGACGCTTTAATAATGAGGTAGCCTCACATTCCATCCGTTTTGCCGGTCCCTTAGCACTAAGACTGGCTTTGCATTCTAGGTTTCTTTTTTTAAGTCCTCCTTTTCTTGGTTTAATTGAGACTTTTCTTACTTTCTTTGCATCATTACTAATTTGCTGAAGGGAGGCCCAAGTTGACCAGCTATTTCCCTCACCAATTCTGCGAACATCATCTGTGTACAACTGAGACACAGTGGTCCCAGTGTAGCAAGCTCCGAGTGACTTGGCTCTTCTCTGGGAAGTTTTGACTCCTAAGGAACACATTTGCTTCATCTCTGTGCACTTTCTTGTACTGAGACATCCAGGTATGTTTGAAGACCTTGGTGTACGCCGTGGCTTTAGGTTTTGCTTCCGCTTTTGAGTAGGACATGCACTTCCTTTCTCTGCTCTGGCACTAGCTGCATCTCCACCGTTACAACATTCCTTTGCAAACAATGAACCCTTTGTTCTTGTGGACGCAGATTTTTTCAACCCTCTCTTCTTTTCTGACTTTTTATTCAATATCGTTATTTTCTCTTTTGTCTCACAGATTGCAGAAGGAGGACTCATTTTACAAGGACCACCAGACTTTGAGACTATTTGTTGCCTGTGATTAAGATCTTCACCTCTGCCATGACAACTACTCTCAAAGCTGTTGCTTCTAAGTGACTTCTCCGCTGCAATTTTTTCCACTTCAGACATCAATGAGATCTCTTGTTTGTTTGTGTCCCTTGCAGACAGATTCTCATCAGTTTTTCTCTGATCACCACAGATATTTTCTTTGACATTTGAAAATGCAGTCCCACCGCAAGACAGTTTCTCCACCTCACTGAACTCATTTTTTTCGGCGAAATCTTGTTTGTTGACTAAATTAGTTTCCTTGGATTGAAGAGGGAAACCCTTTTCATTCTCTTCAACATTAGCTAAGTTTCCAGCCTCTCTCTTCTCAAGCACAACTTTTTGGAACAGTGATGGGGACTCAAGCGTAAAAGTTGCATTCAGAGCTTCACGTTCACAGCCCCATTCTACCTCTTCCATGTCTGACTTAATACACGTGTCATTCTCATCACAATCATGCAAATCCAGTCCCTCAAACTCTGGCCTGGCCTTCAGAACTTTCTGTGCTGCAGAGTTCTGGTTATGTTTGTTTGCATAATGGGTAGCACCTCTACTGTGAGCATCACTTTCTTTGTCAAGACACAAGACTTCCGATTGAGAGCACTCTCTTATCACACTCAGGTTCTTAGACACCGTGGCCACGGCACGTTTTTCATAGCCATCGTTCAGTTGCTGGGACATGACCATACTATAGTTGGAATTATGATTTGGTATGCGATTACAAGATCCAGGACGGTTCACAGGTGAGGGGGTGTTGAAAGACAGCGGGATGGGTGCAGTGCGGGGCAAAGAGGGACTCTTCACAGTTCTCCAATGACTGCTTTCTCCACTTCCTACATGGGACACAGAACTTTGAGTTTTGCATGGAACAACCGAAGTGTTGTATGCAGCAGAGTGTTTTGGTGTCACCTCCGTTACTTCCCTGAAGTTCTCGCTACCAGTCTGTCCACAACTATCATTACTACAATTTGTTGAAGAAATTTTGCTTAAGTTACGTAGCATGTTTCGAGACACTGAATCTAGTCTTTTTTCCTCTACATATGCATCCTGTTCAGAACTCTCCAAAGCTGCTGAGGTAAAAGGGCCTAGCATGTCCACTCCAACCTTTGTACCAGAAGTGACACCTATGCTGTGAGGAATAAAACCGGTAGAGTTCTCAGTCTCCATCTGAACCGGGGTTGGAACAAAAATCTCGTTTCCCAAACTGTCTTGATCTTCCAGAGCATCAAATTCTGACTTGGGTCTTGCAATACCATTTGGGAAGGTCTTGCTGTCACGATCAGCCACTTTGTGGTCCAACGGTACGACTCGGGCAACCTTGGTGAACCCTGACAAACGAGAGTCACTCGTACCCTCACGAAGCAAGTCGTACGTTGATGGGTAGAGTCTCTGCGCTGAGCTTGAAACATTAGTCTTGTAGTTATATTCTTTCTTACAAATAACTCCAGGAAAAGCTGACACATCTGAGGAGAGAAAACGTAATTTGATAACCAGAAGCAGAGGAAGAATCTCCTTGCGTCTCAAAAATCAATGATCCTGAAGAAAAAAAAAGATTCTGATTGGAACAAACCACTAAAGATATCGAAAGAAAATCAACGATAAATAAAAATGAAGGTACTTTCCTAAAAATGCTGAGCAATCTACGTTTAATACACAGATGTCGCCTCTCAGGCCAATAATGACAATCTGTTTCATATTTCAAATAATGATCTTTGTAAGGAGCAATCTTTTAATTTTAAGTTTAGTTTTAGTAAAAGTTTCATAGCACTTGCAATACATATATGGGTCATACAAGTAGAGGTGTTACAAGGGAACAACATACACACAAAAAAGAGGAGAGATAAGAATGATTAAGGTTTGCTAGGAAAGAAGGAGCAAACTACACAAGAGCACCTGCCAACCATCCACTGAACAATCTTTGCTACAACTCTTTGAATACAAGTAACTTCACTCCCTAAAAATAGTATCTTTGTGCAAAAATATTTGTGTGACACCACTTGCACTTTTGAGGAAGCAATTTTTTGGGTTTCACATTCTCATAGCATACAATAGTTACAGTTACACTACAGACTCCCTCTGGTAAGAGACTGAGGACAAGTGCAGAAAAATGATTCAAATAACACATAACACAGTCCAACTCAACTATCAGAATCAGAACAGTTTAAAATGTTATCAAGTAAGTTCAACCTCTTTACATGTAACCTTCCACAACATCAACATTCATACATAACTGAAAAAGACACAGAATATACATTTTCAAACCTTTCACACAACAAAAGCTCATTAAGTGTCTCAATGTACACTATAATTCAATTTCTATTTCATAAAGAGGTAAGTATCCTCTGTCCATTACAACAAAAACTAAAATGTGCAATGTGACAGTTGTACCATACCCGGCAGGAAATGTTGGATGCAAATTTCTGGTGCCATAAAAGAATGTTGGAGGGCCTCCCATGGTGTCAAACGCTTATCTGGAGAAGACAACATTACATGAACTTCATACCACCTTTGAAATAACAGAACCACAGATTAAAAAAACAAGAGAATTTTTAAAAAGAGTGGCAGGAGCTCAAATAGGAAATACATCATATATACAGTATTCACCTGCAAAGGAAACTTTCTGCATATTTTTTTTTAACACCCACTCAATTACAACAAAACATCTTCCTTTTCCCCTAACATTCTAATATAAAAATATTTGTGACACAACATACTGGTATCACAGATCAAGATCACTATGAGCCCAGCATTTGGAAGAAGAGAGAAACACATAATTTTGTTGCATTTAGAAAAAAAAAGTGGAGAACTGCCCAAAAATTAACCAAGACAAGACATTTTTCAGTTCTTAAAACCAGCATCTGCAGAGTCAAGGATAGGCTCTTCAATTGCACACAAATGACACGAGTTCAGTTCTCAAGTAGGGAAGACATTACATTAGGTATTTCCTTCTGTCTACAGGGTGTATCCCAGACAGAATTGTACCAAACAGACAGGGTTGAAGCAATCATCTTCTGAATGATCTAAATTGTGTCCATGGGCACACACAACATTTACAACCCATTCAAAGAAGAAGCACCCCTTGCATTCAGCTTTTAACTGACAACTGAAAATACATACCCGGGTAGTATGAAAGAAGTCCCGCTAGAAAGCTGGCAAACTTGTAGTGCTCTATTTCCGGAAAAGCTGACATTAACTTCACAGCATCTGTGAACAAATTAAATGGATGAAATTTCTTCCCCATTCATTGTAAAATTGTAATCACATATAGTGCGGAAGCTATTTCAAAATCTTTGCAGGTTTTAGAAAATGTCAGAAATTAAGTAAAACTTTTAGAGAAAGATCAGATCCATAAACATATATTCTTAAAGTACAATGAACCAACTTTTAAAATATCTGCTTGTAGTTCAAAAATTACTTTCTTAATGTAACTTTGACAATAACATTTGAGGTCAAAATGAAAAATGAAAACCACAACTCCATTTGTGTCATGAAGCAGAGGAATCAGGTGCTCGTCAATTTTTGTGCATGTGGAGTTATTGCTATCATCTACAAGCTTATTCATTTGCCTTGTTTTCAAAGAAAAAAATACCCATCTATCTCAAATAGAGGTTGAGATATTTGCAATTAAAGGAGGTGGGGTTGCCTTGTTTCAGTGGTAAAATTATTGAGAAAATGGCCGCCAAAGTTCGGTAACATCAATTGCTTGAGAGTCCTTGAAAACTGAAAAATTACATATTCTGTTCCTTTAATCAACGTTTTTGAGTCAAACACACATGGAAATGTGTTATTATACATAAAAGGTGATGAGCCAAAAAACAAAATTTCAATAAAAATTTCCTAACTAGTGGGAAAAGTAAAAGGCCTGTTTCTTCGCTTTTATTATTTTGACAAGCGCCTGATTTCACCACAATGCCTCACATTTTTCAAGTTTGCTCAAAAACAAATACTACTCTAAAATGCATCCAAAACATTGCACACGCATTTTTCTTCTGGAAATACATAGTTTATGGGGCATCTGCATAACGTCAGGGAGCTATTGAAGTTGAATGTGGGTAAAGAGAAAAACAAAACCTACAGCAGAAAATGCACTCACAAAAAGAAAAGAAAAAAGCAGGCAGTGGACAACTTCCACAAATACTCAGAAAAGACATCTGAAAGTCTGTCACTATTGTGGACATCCAGCTGTTTGACACCATATAGTGTTAAAAACCAAAGTACCGTAGTACTACAGTTTACAAAAGACTGCCAAAGAGCAAGCTATGAAAAACACACTTTGCTCAAATACACCTTCGTGCCACACGATGGATTGTTTGCATTCACATAGAACATAGTAGGGTCTACTGTTAGTACTGCTAGGGCCAGCTTTGACTAGGCCTGCCTGTTTGGTTTCACAAAAAGGCATGCCACTCATTACATTATGTTCATAACTGTTCAATAACTGGAGGGGGGGCCAGATTATGCATCAAACATCTGCCAATTATCTGCGTCAGGTAAATTCATCCCCCCCCCCCTCCCAAACACATACACAGCAGACTGCTCATTGCCCTTTACACCCCTCCGAACACCAAAACATGCTAAGAACATGTCTTAATAATAATAATAATAATAATAATAATAATAATAATAATAATAATAAATGACATAAAATTTATATACCACTCAACCCTGATTAAAGTACACAGGCTCTAAGCGCTTTACAATACAATGGAATGTACAACAATAACAAAAAAACGTATTTTGACCAAAAGATAATCCCTCCAAATATTCATCCTATTAATTTAAAAACAGAAATGACATCAGCTGACATTTGAATGAATCAAAGGATTTGATCTCACAACCAACTATAGAGTAAAGGTTCATTGTAGTAGAAAAACATTCTGGCATATAAAGGACCAGTTTATCTCAAATTAATTCTAGACAAGAATCTAAACAAAGTCCTAAACAAAACACATGTTATAATCAGTGCTTCCACCAGCTGAAGCTGAAAAGTAAGGAAAATTCTGCCGGGGTCTGCAGCAGAGTCCAGGGACAGCGTCCCGGTGGGGGTTCGGGTGGCGAAGCCCCCGAAGAAAATGAAACTTAGTGATTTTAGAGGGTTGAAAATGGCATTTAGAGCCTGTTTCAAGAGATTACCAACAACCCATACTACCTATATTTTCACAAAGATTTTGTCTTGTTTGATTTCTTCACCAACATATCTTTCCATTGCAGGCAATGTTTAAAAGCAGGTTCCTCTTCCATTGCTACTATAATTCTATTAATTTGCCATCGCACCATTGACAGAAGGCAAACCTGGGAATAATGAAAAGATTTGTACCTTCACAATAGTTACCCAGCGTATAGGCCTACCCTAATTTTCGTCAATTTTCACGTTTGAATGTCGCATGTCACAACCTCGGAACACCACTTTGAATTATTCTTGGTTTTAGTAGTTTTAGCACAAATTTTTTTCATCGCAGCCCTTATCGCGTTCCTGAGCCGTAGAATCTTCGCCCTGATAATTTTTCGAGATCTAGACAATAAATTTGCAAAAAAGTTTCCTTCAGACAGTAATTTTCTGTCTAAGATCACAAGTCAATACACTTGATCAACGTGCAGATTTTCCAGCCGCAGCAGCAATCCGAAGATAGACAGACGGAATGAGGGAATGATAGAAGGGAGGAAAGTGGCACAAAAAGTTCGCCAGATTTTGATCAATTTGCAGGTAAAAAACGTACCGCCGAACAACCCACAATGAATGCATGGGGTATAGCGGAATAATTTCAGATGGCAGGAAATGCACAATCTGGCATGTTCATAAAGTATTGCCGAGAGAATTACCGTAAATATCCGTAACTTATACAAGAACGATACGAAGGCGAGTACGGATCTTTTGCTACGGAATTTCGGTAGTCCTACGCTGTCGGAGATTTTTACAGAGGGAGTTGATAATGATGGAGGAACAAGTACAGAACTAGCAGAAAGTACGGATTTCTGTAAAAATACGGAAAAGTGGAAGCACTGATAATTCAAAGCTCTACTAAGCAACAGCAACATAAACCATACTGCAACCAAAAAATTATACTGGCAAAGCTGCAATCATAAAAACAGGTGCTCAAAGACTTGATACTGATATAATACATTTTCTGAAAATCTGGAAGCACCTCAAAATACTTTTTCTTGACAAAATGCACTTTGCTTCACACCAGACCAGAGACTACGCCGTACTTACTGCTTGAACTCACAGTTGCTCTACCTCTAGCCAGATCTTCTACATCAGATGCATACTTTCCTCTGTGGCACATTTCAGGAGGCAAGGGACCCAGAACCGATACAATCTGAAAAATGAGACATCTCTCATCACAGGCATTCGATAACGGTCAAATGAGATTAATCTGTAAAGCCAGTGAAATCACATAAGTTTTTACCAGGCAGGCTCCTCTGTGCACTATTTGCACATGGAGGGGGACACAAAACCAATTTGTAATCACATTAGATGAAGAAGTTGAGTCTGTGTAAAAAGAAGCAGTGAGAAACAGCGGGAAAGGGGGGGGAGGGGGGATGGAAAGAGA